ATAAGGTATTATTAGCTCTTGATTACATGCATGGCGCGCGAGACCTGCCTCTGCTACTGCTGCTGCTGGTGGTGGTGGTGCTGCTGCTACTGCTGCTTCTGTTGCTGTTGCTGATGTAGCTGCTACTGATGTTGCTGCTGCCGCTGCTATGTTAGCCGTAGCGGTACGCACAGGCCTCACGGCAAGCGAAATTTAATGTACGCCTATCCTTACGTGTACCATGTGTGCCAACCCTTACGCGTACAATGCGCGTTTATTTGCATTGGCTTCTGTGTTGGTTTCTACGCCCGTTGTCACTCCCCGCGCTCCATAGATTCGCGCCAAGCCCAGCTTATTAAAACATCAATTCCCAGTTACGCTGATACTGATAGGGTCTATGTCTCCCTGGGTACTGCCGGAACGTATCCTGGTAACTCTGGTATGTCGGAACGTACCCTGGTAACCCTGAAACCGTACCCTTCTTACTCCACATTGGGGGAGTTTTGTTTCCCTCCTACAGGGTCCGTGTACCGTAGCTCTTAGATCTTAGTTCTTACGCACAGATCATCGCAATGACTGTACTAGCTCTAGCACTATATAGCCCTTCCCTCTGCCACAGGTCCATGGCAGAGCGAAAGGCTATAGTTCTAGAACTATGACTGTACGCACATCACCCCCTCCCGCGCTGCTGTGTGGGGGCGGACACCTCACACAGACAGACGCGGAGATGTGACACCGACTGCCGCGTTTTCACAATGGGCGACTAACCGATGGAACGCTCTCACACACAGGAGCACAACGTGCGCGCGCCCCGTGTGTGTGCTCATGCTCTTAGCTGGCACATGTATATACTCGCTCACACGCACACACAATAACATCATAATCATCGTCGTCGTCATCACACGTCACGGCCCGCTTCCGGCACATTCCTACATACAACACACCAGGAGCTAATAATGACAAATTTGTCATTATTAGCTCCTGAACACACTGGTACGGTCGTCGTGCGCCAAGCACTTGCCTGCCTAGCTGTGCAATACGTTTGCTCAGACTGTATACAGGCCTGTGGGGGAGCGAGTGGGGACATAGGTAGAGCTATCATTACCTCTCCTACTACATGTATATATATATATATATATATATGTACTGTATATACCTACTGCCTCGCGCACGAGCAGCCCAGCTGAGTGTAGCAGTAAAAGAAATCGCTAATCACCCCTAAAGAGCAGTAATTAGCATAGGTGTGAGAACAGGAGGGAGTGGAGGGGGGAGGGGGGCAAGATTTATAGTGGTCTGACTAGCTAGTCTAGTGGTCAACAACTAGTGAGTTACAGCAGGTACAGTTCGCCAGCTCTCGTTCTTCCTTCCCAACGTGCTACCAGCACACCGCACCACTACTTCAGTACTTGCCTTCGCTCCTGTGCATGTGCAGTAAAACCTATGTAAGCAGTTACACCTATAGCTCTAGCACCTCGCTCTGCCCCTCGCTCTGCCACAGCTGCACTATAGTTCTAGAGCTATTACCACTAGATAGAACGGATACCCGTCTCTAATAAGCATTGCCAAAATATCTGCCTAAAAATTACAAATACAGGTATGACTGTGACACAGGGCCCGGCTAGATATCTAGACTACACCAGCATATTAAGGATACTCTCAAGGTTTTAGGCAAAATTTTACCGGTTTTTCATTTTCAACTTTATTCGATGGCTAACACTATGTACCACCTGTGTAGATATGCTCATTTCTCCATATAACGGTACATGTGAACTTTTAGAGCGTTTTGATTGCCCGCGTACACTTGTAGTGAGCAGCAGCTGACGTCAGACATGATACAACCAGAATTTTCATGATATTCACTACGCCAGTATCATTCAGCATCAACCCCCCTACAGCTGTCATCTGCCAGTGATAGTTGAAATTGCCGCGCGACCGAAAATAGCCCCGTTTCCCTTGTTACACACCTTGCATTTAGGCGCATGTTTGTTGATACATATAGCTTTGCTACATAACGGCATGCAGTACTTACACATCGTACGCGCGTTTTGCATGAAAGTGCGGTGGTACCGTGGTACGGTGGTAACCTTGTAATTTCTCACAATTTCTCAAGGTGCATTACCAATTTAGTGGTGTCAGTTAGTCATGGATATGTCACAGTAAGTACTAACAGTAACAGTAGATGTTTCACATACGTTCGCCCATTTTGCACACAAGTGGTCGATCATTGTAAAAAATAGAAAAACGCTGATTTCTCTGTTTCGATTTCTGACATAGTAGCCGATGTATAAATGGATATTTCTCTGTGATTACAATTCGGATTAATTTAATTTTACACTCGTTTTAATGGTAACATATTGCTGTAAAAAAGCGCGTCAGGGATTGTTATTAAGTGCCGTATTTTATTAGTTATGCCTCTTTATTCGCTAAAATCTTCAATTCTAACACAACTTGATTTTTAAGCATTTTTTTTATTTTTCTTAGTAAATATGAAACTTAAAGAAAAATCCTGATGCGCTA